CTTCAAATCCTAGCCTCAACTCTTATAAACTATATGACCTTTGACAGGTTTATTTAACTTTTTGGTGCCTTGGTTTACTCATGTGTAAAATGGGAAACAATCAGTACTGCTCTCATAGGGCTACTGGGAAGATCAAATAAAGTACTTACAATATGCCTGGTACACAGTAAGTATAATGTGTCAGCTGTTATTGTTAAAACCCAGAGGGTAAAACAAAATTAAAGCACGCTGAAACTTGTTAACCGATTCTCTTTACGAGTATAGTGGGGAGAAGTGAGGCTGTGGGAGAAAATTAAAAATAAAAGAATACAATGCCTCTCAGTAAAATGTATTTCCATACTCTAACCGATTTCATATTTTCAACCTGCCAGTGGTTAAGTGATCTGCTTTCATATGTCCATAAAACTACACTTCTAGCACTCACACGGCTCTCCTCCCATATTATCAAATGTCTTTAACAATTGTGAAAATATCTCACCCTCCCTATTAAACACAAGGATAGGGGTTATACCTTATAAACCAGTCTCCTAGGTAACTTGCATATAAGATACTCATTGTTTATTAAATAGATTTTAACGGTACTATTTCAGTCAGAGTCAAATGTGTAAACATAACCTATAGGCTCATTTAGTCTCACATATTTCTGGTGTGTACAATGTTACTTTACCATAAGCTTGGGAAGCTGGAGGAAATTTTTTTTTTTAGATTTTAATAACAACTTTAAAATGTTATTTTAATCCCAGTCTATAAATTGCCATAATACTAAAAAAAAGGAGAAATGGAACTATGGTGACTTAGACATCCTTTGTAATGGTGGACATATACATTGTGCTTCTCAATGCTGCAGTATATTCTATTTCATCAATGTCTGTTTTTTCAACTTACGTACCAACCAACAAGGACTTTTGTATAACAAATCCGCCGTCAACAGATTTATGCTTATTTTACACCTTAGAAAATCCTGATTACTTTTCTCTTCTGTAACTTCGTCCTTTTCTAAGCATAAGAACAATTTCAGAAATACTATTATAAAAAGCAACTACAGGCCAGGTACGGTGGCTCACGCCTATAATACCAGCACTTCGGGAGGCTGTGCGCACGAAACATGTGAGGTCAGGAGCTCAAGACCAGCCTGGCCAACATGGTGAAACCCTGTCTCTACTAAAAATACAAAACTTAGCCGGGCATGGTGACACGTGCCTATAATCCCAGCTACTCAGGAGGCTGAGGCAGGAGAATCACTTGAACCCAAGAGGCAGAGGTAGCAGTGAGCCAAGATCACACCACTGCACTCCAGCCTGGTGACAGAGCGAGACTTGGTCTCAAACATGTTTTTAAAATAGTAAGAAAATAAAAATAAAAAGCAACTATAAATTCTGCATTCAAAAGTACAAGTCCAGTGTGGTGGCTCACACTATAATCCTAGCACTTTGGGAGGCCGAGGCAGGAGGATCCCTTGAGCTCAGGAGTTTGAGACCAGCTTGGGCAACACAGGGAGAGCCTGTCTCTATTTTTTAAAAAAATTAAAAATTAGGCCGGGCGCGGTGGCTCAAGCCTGTAATCCCAGCACTTTGGGAGGCCGAGACGGGCGGACCACGAGGTCAGGAGATCGAGACCATCCTGGCTAACACGGTGAAACCCCGTCTCTACTAAAAAATACAAAAAACTAGCCGGGCGCAGTGGCGGGCGCCTGTAGTCCCAGCTACTCGGGAGGCTGAGGCGGAGCTTGCAGTGAGCTGAGATCCGGCCACTGCACTCCAGCCTGGGCAGCAGAGCGAGACTCCGTCTCAAAAAAAAAAAAAAAAATTAAAAATTAAAAAGTATAGTATCATGACTTCTGTTATGCATAGGCACACTGTATGCTCAAAGCTGAAAAACTCAGTCACGAAGACCCTACAGCTGTCTTTCAATACTTAACGGCTTGCCATGTGAACTAAGCGCAGAATTAATTTTTGGTATTCCCGTAGGCAAGACAAATTGTAAGGAAGCAGATTTCTGATATAAAGAAAGAACTCCCTGAAAATTAGAGTCGTCTAAAATTAAAAAAGGAATTCATGTGAAGTAGGGAATACTACATCACTGAGAATGTTTGCCAGTAGACTAGTTTTTAGGAATGCTGTAGAAAAGTATTTGATGGAGTTTGAATATGATCACAAACTCCCCTTAAATAGAATTATTCTTGGATTTTCTGAATACTTAAGTCCAAAAGTAATGGCTTGATACACAACACTAACAATGCAAAGGAGTATGCTTATCTACCTGATGCCATAGAGTCTACGTGCATTACATGAACATCATCCTTAATAAGGGGCAACTATATTTCAGAGGTTAGGATATCCTGTCCCTATTTGTTTGACTTTGTGATCCAACTTTCTCTGAGTAGAGCTACGTAAGTTCACTTCACATTTTATTTAAAGAGCTTCTCATCATCCCTTGAAACAACTGCCAATCCACCATTGCTTTGACCCCACAACTCACTAGCGGGAGAATGGGAAGCTCTCAGATGCATAAAATTTGGCAAAGTGAGAAATGACAGAAAACGGACAATTGGAATCTAATAACTCTTCTCCTACACCAGACTTGCTATCAGAATTACTGGTTGGGTGGTATAATCAATTCAATACATTCATATCTGCCTCATATACTGAAGTGTCTTGGGGTACTAAAAATATTGTTACTGTAAAGCAAGTAGAATATTTTTTAAAAAGAATCAAAAGGTATTAAAAAGCTAGAATGTAAATGTAAAAGTACATGAAGGCTCATTATACCTTTGTGCATGTTTGAAATTTCCATAGTAAAAATCTAAAATAAAGAGCCCTCAAACAAAAATCTCAACCCTCATTTATGATTCAGCATCTACTTAACTTCATCTAAATTTACCTGGACTTACCTGAAAATATTTAACTCCTAGTTAATATCCCTTGCACACTCTAAATTTCAGAGGAAAGTTCTTAATGAAACACTTTCAACACCAAAACTGAATAATGCTTCACTGGATCATGGGACTGAAAAACGTTATCACATAGATTTCCTTCTTTTTTAAAATCCAAGCTGCAAAGTGGTTTTAGATCAGACTTCAGTTAGTATAGTCCACTGTAAAATTAGTTGTTTTAATACTGTAGAATTACCTTTTTTTTTTTTGAGATGGAGTCTCGCTCGGTTGCCCAGGCTGGAGTGCAGTGGCACAAGCTCCGCTCACTGCAAGCTCCGCCTCCTGGGTTCATGCCATTCTCCTGCCTCAGTCTCCCGAGTAGCTGGGACTAGAGGCACCCCTTACGACACCCAGCGAATTTTTTTGTATTTTTAGTAGAGATGGGGTTTCATAGTGTTAGCCAGGATGGTCTCAATCTCCTGACCTCGTGATCCGCCCGCCTCGGTCTCCCAAAGTGCTGGGATTACAGGCGTGAGCCACCGCGCCCGGCTACCCTAGAGTTACTTTTAATAAATAAAATCATTTAATTTTCTCTAAGTTTCCAGGATTTTAAAAACTTAGAAAATGTTTAAATTGTTTCTGCTTAACAGCTAAGACTAATAGAGAGGAAAGATTCAACATGAGTGTGGCATTAGGCTGGGAGTCAAATGATAAGATTCTAGTCCTGGCTCTGAACCTATTTTGCTTTGAACATGTCACTTATACCCTTGGGATCATGGAGTTCATCCATAAAATAACTCAGACATGATCATCTCAAAGTCTCTGTCTCATTCTGAAGTTATACAATATTATGACCTTTATAGTGAGTAAACTCCCTCAATGTGACAGGTTCCCTACGTCATACAGTACTGTGTATAAAAAAGGCTACGTCATACAGTACTGTGGATAAACCCTAACAAAATGTGCAAAGTCAAGAGCGTTTAAGCAAATGTGATGGAAGACACTGACTCGAAATATGGGCTGAAATACAGATTAAAGTATCTCAAGAGTCTTTCCTGTCGACAAAGCATCAATATCATATGCTACAGCTAAAGCTCTGAAAAACTGTGAGAAACTTAATGATTCAACCGAGGCAACTATCTCTAATGACTCTTGAACATAAGGGAAAAGCTCTGAATAATAATTTGACACCCAACACCTGTAGCACCCATCCTCCCACCCTGTATTTATGTGTCAGAGAAAGACAGTATTTTTGTGGCATCCTGGAACCAAGGGTATGGAGTAGAAGGTACTGTTTGTTAAACAGTACATTCAACAGGTTCATACTAAGCACTTGAGAAAACTACCTTCCTACTTAATAAACTAACAGGATCCAGTCAGAAGTGTCTTTGTTGTGATGTTTGTATTGCATATATCCAACGAATTCCTTAGCTCTACCACCACTGAATTCACGTAACTCACACAGATGTACTGTTAATATTTCAACAGTCCCACTTTATAGAGTCCAATATTCTAATGCATAATCTAAAATAATCGAAGTGAGAATATGGACTTTGGTTAAAGAATGAAGTAATTCATAGAGGTTTATTAATTATAAAATCAACAAAAGTAAACAAGCAATGCCACCCGAACTTAGTAACACGCGGGCCATGTAGTACAAATGTGGTGTACTGAAAAACCAACCGCTTTCAGAAATCGTAACACTAAGAAGTGTAGCTTTGATACCTCTATCTTGTCGGTTAATTCATGTTGTAGAAGGACTGCCAGGGGAATGACAGCTATCTAAATCAAACCACAGTGTCAATATGTTGGGAACAAGTACCCTGGCTACAAGAAAGGAAAAGGAAAAGGAATACAGCCCTAAAAGATGCATACAGACAAGCAAGTAAGGGGGGAGCATTCTTGTATTTAATTTATAGCTAAAAAATTCAAAGGTAACACTGGTAGTAAAAACCTACAAAATGACTGTGAATCAGAGAAAGTGTTGGTTTTTTTGAAGAGCCTGAGACGGTGTGTATATGTAAGAAAATTGAATGGAGATGTAAGCCAGTATTGTGGTGGTGTGCTGATTTAGCCACAAATGTCTTCCCTATTTAAATATTCCAATCAGTACCGTTAGTACACGTACCTCGGAGAATTCTTTCCTCATGGCAACGAAGAAAGTCCCAGATTCTAACAGTGCCGTCATCAGAGCATGTAGCAAATTTATTATCCGTGGGTGAGAAACTGTTACATGAAGACACACAGCAGGGGAAAGAAGTCAGCATTTAACAGATAATCTGTGTTTCTCAGACAGGGAAAAATAAAAACACTGTGCTGCATTATAAACAGGAGAGGGAAGAATCCAGTGAAGAAGCCCTTAAAGTGAATGTCGTCAGCTAACACAGGCATCTCATCAAAAGAAGTCTTCAACAGAGCAGTTGTTTGAGTTTTCAATCATCAGTATTCTGAGAACTTCAAGTGTGTATTATTAGTGCTAATGCTATCCATGTTCCTTCTCTATTTTCTATCATACCAGGAAATCACATGAAGCTGCCTTAAGTGGTGAAACTAAATGGATTCTATTTTTGCAGTATTCCCATAGTCTTTTAAATTGCACACGAATACTGCTCCCAAAATTATCATCAGCTTCTGCCTCAGACACTTCATGAAATGATAAGCTGAAACAATGTGGGCTGTCTATTAAAAGAATGATTGCTAAACATCCCTACATACGATGTTTCTCATCCATTCCAAAGGTCTGTAGAAAATTTTCACACCTTCCTGGCAAGCTATTCCATGAATGTTGCACCTTTTGAGTAAAACTTTAAAATAAGGACATTCAGACTTGTGTTTCAAGCCAAAGAATCTGCTGCAAGAAGGATTCAGTTTTTCCCAGTAGTGAAAGATCATTCAAGTTTCTCAAATAACTCTAAAAACTCCCTTGAACTTTGGAATCCTATAACTAAGAAAGGACTAGCTGTGTAAACTCAATGTATGGGCAAGACACTAAGGCAAAATCTACAAAGCAGAAGCATGTTCATCCAACAATTTGTTAAGATTCTGAAAGGATAAGCAAATGACTACAGTGGATGATGTTTCTATAAAGATGTCAACCTCCCCCACACATGGGTGGCACAACCTTAAAGAATGCTGCTTAGCTTTATTCTGAGGCTGCAGCAATTCTTCAGGCTTGTATTTGGAACTTTTTCCCCCAGTTTTACTATACATACCTCACTGATGTGTAAAAATATACAACTCACTGAAAATATTTTAAACTCCACTTATTGTATACATTTGCATAAGTGATGTTATCAACAGTGAATCAGAAGAAAAGTCCTAGAGTCTTCTTGACAATGATCTGCTTACAGCTGCAAAGCTTGAAGAACCCATTCATTACTCCATTAATGTTTGCCACATCCAGTTATCTGTGAGGGTTTTAGTCCTATACTTTCCTTTGGAAGTCGTGGCATAACCAAGCCAACCAGGTCTTCACTTAAGCCTTTTTCCACTTTGTGTGAATTCTGAAGTTGTTTTCTGCAGGCTTTAGATTTTATTCAGTTGCATAATTAAAGACTGAATTCTTTATTTGGAATGAAATATTCTTGTCTTACACAGTAGATAATAAAAAGGAATAACGTATACACATTATTAATCATAAATGAAAAGAGAAAACCAGTGCAAAATGCGGCAGACAGTACATCTCTAACATATTGCAAAGGCTGATACCGGGACAACACTACTTCAGAAAGGTGCCAGCAAAATGGTGAATGTGTGAAAACAAAGAAAAATATTGTGTTTATAGGGTGCAGAAAGTTTCCCAGAATCTGACAGAGCCCATGCATCTCTGCACCCAGAATACACTTAGAGAATAATTTAACCATGACAATAGGGACTACAGAAAATGGTATATTGTGTATAAACCTGGCCTCTCTAATCGCCTCCTTATGTGCCTGGAACATCTTGACGTTGTTCATGTTCGACTGCCAATATTTCACATATCCTCCGTGGTCTGCTGTCAACATCCACATGTCATTATGTGACCACGTCATGGCCCTCACTGGGCTGTCGTGAGCCTGTGAAAACAGAAAACATTAACTAGTAAGGTGTTGCTTCAAAGAATATATGACTAAAGGCTTACAAGAGCATATACTGACTCGAGGCAACAATTCGTCCAATTCTAAGTTTAACAATGCCAATGAAGTGACTATATCTCAAGTTCTTTACAGTACCATACGATGATACCACCATCTGGTGATTACTATTACCTGTAATATTGTTTCAAAATTGAAAGTGAGTCCATTCCACAAGGTAAACTCCCCACTAGAAGCTCCAGTGACCAAGCGTCTTCCTTCTGGAGTCCACTAAGGGAGAAAAAAAGACAGGTTATACAACGGCACACATCCTCCAACTTCACTAATTTTGAAAAACATTTTAAAGGTATTTATAAAACATGCAATAACTGACATAAATAAATGAAACTGACTTTTGCTTAAATGTAGCTCAGCTTTATCAGAAGTACTTCATCAGAAAACAACTTAACACAGTGCAAGGAAGGCTCTAGTCCCTTGGCTTAGTAGCTGAATTAAAGATACTAAGTATATTACGAGTATACGCACCTACTCACTAAATTACATGCACCTATGCATGCTAAAGACCATTTCAATACAGAATATGCGAAGACCTCATTTCCCTAGGCTATATGATAGACTAACAAAAATAAGGTCACCAGAACAACTCAAAGACTGGATAAAGGATTTGGCGCTTACAAGTAGGAGAGGACAAATTCAGAAAGAAAAGTTACCAGTGTTTAATTAAAATAACAAGATAATAAGAAGTACCAATTTAAGGACACTGAGGCTATCAAACTCTTCCTGCACCTAAACATATTTAAAAAAAAAAAATTGTAAGCTCTCCTCCATTCAAAGTACCAAGCAGTGATAACTCTTAGGCTGATCTACTCTCAAAAAAAACCATAATAGTGCCATGACTAATTAACACTACACCAACATTTTAAATTTTTTATTGATACACAATAGATGTACATATTTGCAGGGAATGACAATGCCAATAATTTTTTTTGTACTTTTAAGTGCACCTTTTTTCCTTTTAAATTAAACTTAAAGCCCTTTATTACTTTTTGCACTTAAAGCCCTTTAAATATTTTTACAGCAGTATTTTAATGTCACAATTTGCATACTAAAGGAAATCTGTAGCATACGTGATGGCTAATTTGAAACATTTCAAATTTTTTATTTTTACTTTTTATTTTCAAGTTTCTATGATGGATCACACACTCATTTTCCTTCAATGATGTAAATATACAAAATGTCAATATAACAATCCTATTTTCCAAAAACTCTGACAAAGTTGAAAAATACAAATACATATGTGCTTATAGAAACAGTAAGATAGGATATATAAAATGAAGGTTATTTCTTAAATTACACAAATATATGTGACAATTTGGCTTTTTATTGCTTACCTGTAAGTCACAGTTTTGATTATCAGATTAAAAGCCTCGTCCCTTTCTAGTTTCCGTTATCTGGTATGGATCCTAACCCAGTCAATACTACAGACAACCAAACTGTAGACACACAGCCCACAGTCTTTATACCTTAACATCTTTTGATTTTGACTGTGCCTCTGCATGTGCAAATTCTTCCTAAAACCTTATAGCGTAATCCCCAAATGAGAACATTTACCCACCTTATAAAATATGGCGTGCTCGGATTTTATTCTTTTCAAAAAGGTTTTCCATGTTATGCTAAGAGGATATTAAAATTAGCTGCACATCATATCCCTTTGACCAAATTCCCTGATTAAAAAAAAAATTATACTATACACTGGTTGCTTCTACTCACATAACAATGTTTCTTTTTTTCTTTTTTTCTTTTGAAATGGAGTTTCACTCTTGTCCCCCAGGCTGGAGTGCAGTGGAGGCGCAATTTAGGCTCACTGCAACCTCCACCTCCCGGGTTCAGGTGATTCCCCTGTCTCAGCCTCGTCTCTCAGCTGGGAATACAGGCGCGTGCCACCACGCCTGGCTAATTTTTGTATTTTTAGTAAAGACAGGGTTTCATCATATTGGTCAGGCTGGTCTCAAACTCCCGACCTCAGGTGATTCACCTACCTCAGCCTCTCAAAGTGCTGGGATTACAGGCGTGAGGGATGTGTCTACTGCCTAAGGCCTCTTAGGCAAATACTAGGCATAAGACTAAATGCAGCTATTTCTATGGAGTTCAGACTGACATCTCTCTCCCAGGACCTTTTGGTTCTCCCTGTTGTCTATCATACTCCTCTGATATCAGAAGATCTGCTTATTTTCCTCATCTGCCACAATCATCTTTTCTTGGTCTCACTTTTTTTCAACTGTTATTTGCTCAACTTAAGATTGTTAACCATTCTACACCTCTGGATACTGTTAACCAACAAGTGCATTAGCTAGGAAATGGAATAATCGAAACACAAAGAAGAAAATGATTACATTATCATCTATGAAAATCAGGGTTACAACTAAAAATTGTATTTTTAAAATTTTAAAAATACATTTAAAATTTAAATGTATTAAGTGCCTAGTAGGTACCTTCATAGAGCTAAAAATTACGGTACGCCATAGTTCTTCGGCTCTCAGATGTTTTCCTGCCTAGTAACTCCTAAGTATTCTTCATTTACCTTGGGATGCTGCTGTTCTAAATAATAACAAAAGCATCCCTATTCAAAGGCAACTCTGAGACCTGCTACAACATGTATCCATCTATTGAGAGAATTCTACAGAAATTGCCACATGAAGAAAAACAATCCAAAAGTGATATCTCACTCAATGGTGATAAAGTAGATAAACAACTGGATATTCCAAAATAAAATTACTAGCAATAAACCAATTATAAGCCCAGATATACTTTTAAAATAATGTTTAATTTTCTTTGCCCTGTCAAATACATTTGCTATATAACTCTGGATTTATTTTCCCCCAAAATATCCAACAGATTACTTACCCTAACAACAAATACCGGACACTTTACTTTATTTGTTGATGTCCGAACAAATTTTGTTGTTACTGCATTCATAGGATTATTCAACATTCCTATAGGTGGGACCAGCTAAAAAAAAAGAAAATTGGGTTTTTAGAGCTCCTGATTACACACAAGGCAGAAACCAGAAACACGGCAAGGTAATTATTTCAACATTTAAAGACAAATTTGGGACCATATAAAACTTTCCCATAAAAACTATAATAAAGAATTATTACAATTAGCTTACTAATTAAGTGAAGAAAAGTGAGATACAGGAAAGTTAAATACCCATTATTACTAAGCAAACAAGAAAATCAAGTACCAGTACTAACCCAGTACAAGTTGGTACAAGTACTAACCCAGTTAGTACTTAAAGTCAACACAATTAAACATGTTCACAGAAAGCTTATTAAGTTCAAATTTAAGTTTTAAGAAATTTAAATTAATTTTCCAATTACAAGACTTTAGATTACAAAGCTTCTTTTTGGACATTGCTTTAAGCCCCAAATCAAAAATTCACCCATCATTAGATTAAAAGAAAAATCTAAATTGAGACAAAAACATAATGCACAGTTTACACAGATGTGTTACATTATCCCTTTGGGAATATTTTAATTATAAAAATGTAAAAAGAAAAGACCATTTTGGACTTGAAGTCACGTAGTTAAAGCTAAAATATTCAAGCAAGGAAGTGTCTATCAAGCTAGTATGACACATCATATACTTACGTCATTGTAATAACCTGCATCAGGCTGAATTGCCCGCATATCTCTCTGGTCTCTTTGCCATATTCTGTTCTGTTAAACAAATAAATAGATCAATTAATGACTATATAGTCTAATTATACTCAATTTGAAATCAACAAAACATAAGCTATATTAAAAATGGATAAACAGAATTTAAAAATACTATTTTCTAAAACAGTGGGTGCCTTAGAGAGCTTTCCCTTCTGATGCTACTAACACTGCTTAGAACTTCCCTCCTCACGGTGCCTCACACCTGTAAATCCTAGCACTCTGGGAGGCCGAGGCAGGCAGATCACTTGAGGTCAGGAGTTCAAGACCAGCCTGGCCAACATGGTGAAATTCTGTCTCTACTAAAAATACAAGCCAGAAATTACTTGAACCAGGGAGGCGGAGGCTGCAGTGAGCTGAGACGGTGCCACTGCACTCCAGCCTGGGCAACAGAGCGAGATTCCATCTCAAAATAACAAAAACAAAAAGAACTTCCCTCCTCACTTTACCATATTAGCCCCTACCCACTCATCCAAGACACTGTCAGCTCCAACACAGTCTCCCTGATGCTACCTTAAGAAAAGAAAACAGCAGAGAGGGTAAACAGACATCCCCAATTCCTTCAAAGCCCTAAGCACAAAACAATTCCTCATATCTTGCCCTTGGTCTTCTTAATTCCTCTCAAATTCTCTCCTAGCCTACTTTCCCAATTGAAATTCCCAGAAAAATCAAAATCTGTCTTTATCTCTGAATCTCTTTCTCCAGTATGCCTGCAACATACTAATTAGGCCCAATATGCAAATAGGTCTTTAACCACAGGTCTAAAGTAATGAAAAACAGACAAATTTTCATAGGAAGCCAGACCTAAGCCCAATGAACCTAATAGGGTAATATTAGTAATGAGGCTAATTCCTACCTTAACCCAAGTAAATAAATAACTCTAACGGGAAACTGTAGGTAGACCCTGCCTTGACTTTACTATCTGAGTTGCTTTCACCTTCTAGGACTGCAGTAGGCATTCAGTCCTCAAGAACGTAAAGCCCTTTCCCTGACTCTAAGTACCACCTACCACCAGGGCTTGGAAGTGGAAGAATCCATGTTCTCCAAGCCATTGTCTAACAAAAATATTCCTATGTTGGTGGTCTTTTATTATTTCATATACACTGCAGATTTAACAAGTGTTTTAAGACTGGCCTAGCGATTAAAGTACTCCCTTCTAATCTGTGAACTTTTAGAGCAAATCCTGTTTCTAAAATGGGGTCTAACTTTAATAATTTTTTAGAAGATGATACAGACACAGAATTTTAGAAAGTGCTGGTGGTTTGAGGTTCTTCCTAAATGAGCCAATTTGAAATTCCACCTTGTCCCACTAATTCAACTAACACAGGTATACATAACTTACTACACTACATCTAGAAAATCATCTTCTTTTAAATAACCAGGCCAGGCGCAGTGGCTCACACCTGTAATCCCAGCACTTTGGGAGGCTGAGGTGGGTGGATCACCTGAGGTTAGGAGTTCAAGACCAGCCCAGCCAACATAGTTGAAATTGTTTCTACTAAAACTACAAAAATTAGCCAGGCATGGTGGCAGGAGCCTAGAATCCCAGCTACTTGGGAAGCTGAGGCAGAAGAATCACTTGAACCTGGGAGGCAGAGGTTGCAGTGAGACAAAACCGCACCATTGCACTCTGGCCTGAACAACAAGAAAGAAACTCCATCTCAAAAAAATAAAATAAAACAAATAAATAACCAAAGTTTGGTCATCTGAAGCAAATTAATTAGGCTTACCTCCAAATACTTAATTACAGATGGATTGTAGTCTATGGTTTTTCGGTTTACAGCTTTTCTCATTCGTTTTCCATCAAAAGTAAGCTGTTGCATTGCTTGCTGTTGTGCAAAATCAGGTCGCTTATAAAACAACTGTCGAGGTGCCTGGTGCTGGAACCTTGGCATATGGAAAAAACGAGGAGGAGAACCAATTTCTGTAGCCATGGTGATGTTTTCCTTCCAGGATACTAGGATAAGGAAAAAGTACTTTCACTTCAAATATCAGCACTCCAACAATGCCTGAAAACATTTTTAAATTAACACTTTTTACACTTCTTTTCCCTTATCTAACATGCATCATTTCCAGTTACACAATGAACTACAGTCATGAGTCACTTAACGGGCATATGCTCTCAGAGATGCATCCTTAGGCAATTTCATCATTGTACAAACTTCACAGAGTTGTACTTAAACAAACCTAGATGGTATACATAGCCTACTACATACCGAGGCTACATGGTGCAGCCTCATGCTCCTAGGTTACAAACCTGCACAGCATGTTACTATACTGAATGCTGGTGGCAACCGTAACACAGTAAGTATTCATGTATCTAAACATAGAAAAGAAACCACAGAAAAGTATGATAAAAATACTATATTATAATCTTATGAGACCACTATCATATATGTGGTCCAACATTGACCACAATGTCATTTTGTGGTGCACGACTATATTAGATCAATAACAGAGACCAGCCACACATTTGAAAAAGACGACAGTCAAGGCGGAAGGATCGCTTGAGGCCAGGAGTAAGATCGGGCTGGGGAACATAGTGAGATTCCCATCTCTATAAAAAATAAAAACATTAGCTGGGCATGATGGCATGCACCTGTAGTCCTAACTATTCTGGAGGCTGAGACAGGAGAATCACCTGAGTCCAGAATTTTGAGGTTGCAGTGAGCAATGATCGTGCCACTGCACTCCAGCCTGAGTGACGGAGAGACCCTGTTGGAAAGAAGGAAGGGGGGCAGGTGCAGAGAAAAACTAATTCACAGAATAAGTGCTAATAGGCATTTGTTGTAAAATTCAGCCTCCTGAAGAAAAAAAGCAGGATTGGTAACAGCTTGAGGCAGGGTATATATGTGTGAGTCAGTGGATGGGTATGTGTTTATGTTTAGGGAATAAAAGAAGGTAGAATCACTGGGAATTGTTCACTTTTTCTCTTTTTTTCCCCTAGAGATAAGATCTCTCACTGTGTTGCCCAGGCTGGTCTCAGACTCCGGGGGCTCGAGATCCTCATACTTTGGCCTCTTAAAGTGCTGGGATTACAGGCATGAGTCACCAAGCCTGGCCTTACAGTTTTAAAATTAAAATTTCACAGCTGGGTGTGGTGGCTCACGCCTGTAATCCCACCACTTTGGGAGGCCGAGGCAGGTGGATCACGAGGTCAGGAGATGGTGAAACCCCGTCTCTACTAACAATACAAAAAAAAAAAATTAGCCGGGCGTGGTGGCAGGTGCCTATAGTCCCAGTTACTTGGGAGACTGAGGCAGGAGAATGGCGTGAACCTGGGAGGCGGAGCTTGCAGTGAGCTGAGATCACACCACTGCACTCCAGCCTGGGCGACAGAGCGAAACTGTCTCAAAAAATAACTAATTAATTAATATTTCACTTAGGCCAGGCACAGTGGCTCATGCCTATAATCCCAGCACTTTGGGAGGCCAAGGTGGGCAGATCACAAGGTCAGGAGTTCGAGACCAACCTTGCCAACATGGTGAAACCCCGTTTCTACTAAAAATACAAAAAACTGGCCGGGCGTGGTGGCTCAAGCCTGTAATCCCAGCACGTTGGGAGGCCGAGACGGGCGGATCACGAGGTCAGGAGATCGAGACCATCCTGGCTAACACGGTGAAACCCCGTCTCTACTAAAAAATACAAAAAACTAGCCAGGTGTGGTGGCGGGCGCCTGTAGTCCCACCTACTCGGGAGGCTGAGGCAGGAGAATGGCGTAAACCCCGGAGGCGTGGCTTGCAGTGAGCTGAGATCCAGCCACTGCACTCCAGCCTGGGTGACAGAGCGAGACTCCGTCTCAAAAAAAAAAAAAAAATTAGCTGGGCGTGGTGGCGGGCTCCTGTAATCCCAGCTACTTGGGAGGCTGAGGCAGGAGAATCATATGAACCCAGGAGGGAGAGGTTGCAGTGAGCCGAAATCACATCACTGCACTCCAGCCTGGGCGACAGGGCAAGACTCTGTCTTAAATTAAAAAAAAAAAAAAAATTCACTTAGAAGTTTGATGATAAAACTAATTACTTTTATGTTTATTGTTAAGACTCCATTTTATACAAGTCATTAAAGGTCTTTAAAATTTGACTTTTGTTCTTTTAAATTTCCTAGGAATAGTGTAGAAAGAGGAATAAACTACCTTATTTCATATCTATAATGAACAAAGAAAGTACGTATGCCCAAATTTCAGGAGCAAAATACCACAGAAACGTATTTCTCAGTATGTGTTATTTACATATTTACAAAGGTAACCTTAAGTTTATATCTGAAGAGAAAAATGTTAAGACCTTATAGTTTTTCAACTTCAACGTTCTACATTTAAACTTACATGCCAATAATACAAATATGCATGATTTTTTTTTTAAATTGTTTTAATTAGCCCAGTGTGCTGGTGCGCAACTGTTGCCCCAGCTACTCAGGGGGCTGAGGTGGGAGGATCACTTGAGCCTGGGAAGTCAAATCTGCAGTGAACCATGATAGCGCCACTGCACTCCAACCTAGGTGACAGAACAAGACCCTGTCTCCAAAAATAAAATAAAATAATAAAATTAAAAACTATTACAAATACAATAAAGGAGAGAAGTTAGAAACATTTCCACAATAGCTTTTGATTTCAAAAGCAGAAAAGACTGTGGTCACCATTATTTGTCTGTATTCTTTTTTTTGTTTTGTTTTTGTTTTTGAGATGGAGTCTCACTCTGTCGCCCAGGCTGGAGTGCAGTGGCTCAATCTTGGCTCACTGCAAGCTCTGCCTCCCGGGTTCACACCATTCTCCTATCTCAGCCTCCCGAGTAGCTGGGAGTACAGGCACCCGCCACCACGCCTAGCTAATTTTTTAGTGTTTTTAGTAGAGACGGGGCTTCACCGTGTTAGCCAGGATGGTCTCGATCTCCTGACCTCCTGATCTGCCCGCCTCGGCCTCCCAAAGTGCTGTGATTACAGGTGTGAGCCACGGCGCCCAGCCATTTGTCTCTACTCTTAAAACTGCCTTATCTCACTCTCTAGACACTAAACAATGAGGCTGAAAAAATTTTTGATTTCCTTTTGATGAAATATTCTTGGTACTACTTCATTCAGCCTTGTCACATTGGTCCCTCCTAAGACCATTAAATTTGAATAATAATAATAACAACGAGGAGGAGGGGTGAAGGGAAAAGAAATCCTGACTTTCGAACTCCAAAATAAATAGTGCAATAAATAATGCCTTTAACTGTGTTACTTTTTTTTT